GCGTGGTCAGGAAACGCCTCATTAGTAGGCACTATTTGAGCAAAGATCTGAAGGGCATGAGGGAGCTAACCATGTGGATCTGGAGGAAAACTCTTCCAGGCAGCACAGAGCGTTCTGGAGCACAGGGAACGGCTGCAATTCCTTGAAGCGGGAACAAGTTGGCATTTTAGTGGGATTCCTCCAGTTGCTGAATTGGGGACTGTGGGAAGTGAGGATGAAAGCATTGCCAAGATACCTTAAATTCTCAGTGCACATCTCTAAGGCATTGAAAATTTTGTCAAAGCATATATTGACATAATGACAATTCATTGAATTAAGCCATCACAAAGTAGCACAGTTCTGATAAAATAAGACTCAAAAAAGGGCAGGAGGGGTGGGAGTTTGGGGTTGGGGAAGCTGAACCCTCACTTAATGAGCACATACTAGGTGCTTTTTATGCTTTACTTTTAACTCTCAAAACAATCTCAGAGTAGGTATTATTTTACATGTGAGGAAGTGAGGCACGGAAAGTCGGCTTTCCCTTCTGCCACACCATCTGCTTTTAATGACAAAACGTATGACAAGGGATGTGGTATCGGGGATGATGCCACAAAGAGCACACAGAGGACATAAGAATGTTCTTTTGGCCCATTTCTTATGTCCTCTGCCACTACTTTTCTATTACTGGTTTCCCTTTCTGGTAATTAAATAAGGTTATCAAGGTGGGTCTTCCTGTCATACCAGGTTACCAGGCCAGATGCTCTTGTGCACCCTCTCCTACCATGTGTATCTGTAGTTGAGACATCAAAGCTGCAAAGCCGTCAGTTTTTCCCAGAACCCTCAGCTGCATTGTGTGAGCAGAAGTTTGAATTCACAACCGTATTTCCATACATTGGCTCAGCAGGCCAGCTGGGTATACAGACCTGACTTAAATTGATCGTTTTCTATCATAAACATTCATAAACATGAACAGCATAAACGTGTGTGTGTGTGTGTGTGTGTGTGTATAGAGAGAGAGAGAGAGAGAGAGAGAGAGAGGAAGAGAGAGCATGAGAGAGAGAGAGAGAGAGAGAGAGAGAGAATATGAACACAGTGAAAAAGATAAGTATCAAAAGTCCCACACATCCGGACTTTTCAGTCTGCACTACGATATGTGATGCACTAAAGTGGTTCATATTATGGTCCTGAAATTACTGCTGTTATTATTTCACCGTTATAATTAGCTCACCGCAATTTTAGAAAACCGTGTTACTTTTTTTCCTTAGCAAGGGCATGAATACTTCCCTGTCATGTACTATATAATGTGGGAAAACTTAAATACCATCCATGCTTTCATTACAAATCTTCATTTTTGCCAAGGCCTAATCAAAGGCATCTCTCCCCAGATTTCTGTCCTCAGATGCCCCAGGTCTGTGTCCATGACTACACCTAGACTGTGTTTTCTCCCCCATCTTTCTTTGGGATGTCTCAAGAGGCAGCAAGTCGACCAGAAATTTCCTAGTGGCAACAGAGGAAAGTACATCTAGTTACATGGAACAAGAACCTACGAGTAGAAATTTAGGGTTATTTTGCTTCCATTGCTGTGATTGACTTCTCTGTGACCTTCTGCTGTTAACACCTGCCTCCCCAGGTGTGTAAGAGCTTTAATTAATATTTGTAAATCTCCCTGATTGCCACAGACAAAAAGGTAGCAGAAAAGGGCAGATTATTATTAATGGGGGCGGGGAGTGAAGTTGTTTAAGTTTTCCTTCACCAGAGGGACACCTTCACCCACAGACACTATGTTCACAGTGGGAGGATTAGATATAAATCTTGATTTACTGCCTTTGCACTTGTGGCAATACCTAATGCCTGCTTAATACAAAGTTTCCATTCTACATGCTGCCTAAGACCAAATATGCACTGCCTCTGACTCCTAATGCTGTTTAAGTTATTACCAAGAGGAGCCTTGCTATTCATGAGTGTGAGAGTTCATCTAATTAGCTGATTTCAGTTCATTTGACATTAAATAATTCCCCAAACTCCCATATGTTTGAACAATATGCTCAACAAGGGGGATGATTCTCTGAAAGCAATTAAATAGTTCTTTTAGGAGAGCTTGTCATCGGTCACTCATAAGCATCTCTGCTATTCCTGTCTGTGATGAATGCAGGTGGCAGTTACGCGGAGAGCGCTTAACCCTCTCTAATAGTCACTGGCAGGCATCCCAGTGTAGGCTGCCACTTTGTCCTGGTTATAGCACACAGTGGCATTTTATATTTTTTTCAAACCTCAAGTGTATTTGTTCTAGGCTGTTCACAGAGCATTTGTTATTACTAAATCACTGCTTTCCAAAGCCACCCCCATAGCTTGCCTGCCCTGCTTAAAGATAAATGCTGACATTTTCGGTTAACCCTGTGCTTTGCTTGTATAGCAAGAATTGTCAGTTTTGGACTATGGTTGCCTATGTGGAAGATGGAATTTTTTGAAGTTATCTCCAGTGCTTCTTGGGGAGGGAGGGAGATCGTGTAATAATGTTCAGGTCTGTTTTAGATACAGTAGATAAAAGATATCCCTGCTCAGATCTATACCTTGACTTTTATTGCAGCAGCAAACTGTGTACGATGAAGTAGAGTATGACCATTACTAATTTGAGCGAGAACAAGCGATATCAACAAAAGCAAGTCAGAAATTAATAACACGTTAGATGTACTCACAGAAAAACTATTTATACAGGATCTCAGAAAAGGTGGTATCTTTTAGTACTAATTCACATCTTTATCTTGCTCAAGAGATTGCTTTTTTGACCAGGGATGACATATTTAAAGGTCTTTTCTAGGTTGGGTAAGAAGAAGTGTAGGTAATACAGATCCTAGCTCTTGTGTAGCTTTGTTCATCTGAGAGTCTCGAATTGCTTTATTGCATATCTTCTCTCTTGCATGTGAAAATCCATCAAAAAAAAAAATCAAATAGCTGCTCAAAAACACATAAGCAGTAGGAGAAAAATGAGTAGGCTTTTGGGTTCTCCTCATTGACTACTATCCTATAGAGCACCCCACCTTACTGTTTGGGGGAAGAGATTAAAAACAAAGACAGAAAATGAAAGAGGGAGGTATTCACTGAGGTGGTATTATTTCCCTTTAATTAAACTTCATTTTCTTTTATTTGTTTCATGATTCTGCATTGTAAATAATTCACAATACAGAAAAAACTGAACATCAGCTTCGGGTAGAATGATTTTAAAGTTAGATCTAAAGTAGGAATGCGTTGAAAGCTATATATTTGTGTGTTTGATTATGCACATTTATAATGAACTGTCTGTCTACTGTGCTATCACTATATAACCTATGTGTCTGTGCATTGGCAGAAAATAAATGTTTTCAAAACCAGAAGAGACATACTCAATTCGGGTGTGTTTGAAGTGTTGCTTTGTTCCATAATAATTTGTTTTATCGCTTACTGGCATTAAAAATATTTGTAGAGCGTGTTTTTAGGAGAAAAGAATCTGATGGTATGATTACCAGATCAATCATTTCTATAATATTCTTGGCTTTAGTCATTGATGATGTTATCAACAGGAATAAGGATTCAGCAGCTGGTGTGTGACACACCAGCCAGATCTTTGCTTTCTTCTGTTCTGCCCTGTATTTCTGAAGAAGCATTTGTCATTTTATTTGTCAAAACCTAGATCTGAAGTCTAGGCTTAAGCTCAGTCTGTGTGCTTGAGCAGCTCAGGATTAATGGCTGTCTTCCAGACCAGCCTCTGCATGTATGGTGCTCCCCAGGAGGAATCCTGGATAGGGCTGTGCTCTGCCTGAAGAAAAGAGCAGTTCGTATCTAAATTCCCATTTACATATATACGCCCCCTCCTTCACGTGCTTCTCTCTTTTGTCTTTTCCCAACTCTAAAGCCTCCAGTCAGATGGATCGGAGGTGCTCCTGAGCCCTGAAGTCACCTGTGGTCCCCCAGACATGATTGTCACCACTCCCTTTGCATTGACCATCCCGCACTGTGCGGACGTCAGTTCTGAACACTGGAATATCCATTTAAAGAAGAGGACTCAGCAGGGCAAGTGGGAGGTGAGACCCTATTCTTCCTTTTTGAAAAACAGGACTTGGGTTCCACCTATGGGATAGATTTAAGCTTACCTTCTCTTAGCACCAAGAGTCAGCTATGAAATTTGTGAGCATCTTCTTATTTTTCGGAGAGTTGGTGGCATGTGTTAGTATTGGCTAGCGATTTTCACGATAATGGTTTTATAATACAGTTGTAATTACCCACATGTATTCTTATGTACCTGTCTTTGGTAAATAAAACTTTATCACTATATTGGTTTTTGTCATCATATGGCTGACATGGGATTATATAAATAGGGATTATATAAAATCGTTGTATCCGTTTTTGTCATCAGAGGGATTATAACAAATCTATGTGTAAGTATTCAGGAACGCAGTCGGTGTTAAATATGTTTGGTTGAATTAACGAATGCACTGAAAATTATTTTTAGTGTCTGTTTCCCCGTGTAGATGAGCATATGTAAAAGAGTTACAGAACAAGAACAAAAGAGACAAGAAAATGGGGATACATGAGAGGAGGCTGACAACAAGGGAGACAGTCACGGCAGAGAAAGATTGCAGTGGAATTACTGTTTTAAGTGAAACCTCTGATTTATCTGTTTGATAGGGATCCCTTTCATGTCTTTCTGAACTCAGTTTGCATGAAAGCAGGTGAATTATCTTGTTGGAACTCAATGACCTGTTCCAGCTAGCCCTGGGATCTTAACCTCCCAGGAGATGTTTCCTGCAAAAGAAGTAAAAGGAAAATCATGTTTCTCTAGAAGAAAAATCCAAGTTGCTGTGATGGTTTACATTCACCCTGCCCAGCTACGTCTTAAAATGAGTCCGGATTCCTCGTTGAAAATGCATTCTGCCATTTTTTCAGTCCTTGTAAAACCACAGGCAGATTTCCTGGGGCGTGAAGTTCCACGGGTTTTCCAACGGGGCCAGGTTTTGGTCTCTTTTTCATGACGTTTTGCTTTGCCTGGATTTTCACCACTTTCGCTTTTCTTCTCAGCACTTCCGCGCAGTCTTTTACGTCCAGATGGTGTTATACTCATGCTCTACCAAACCAGCCACGCACACCTAAGTTCTTATCAGGGAGGGTGAATTGGTCTTACTATATCTTATCCAAACCATTTATTTAATAATTCCTTGTGAGTGATTTTGATGGAATGAACGAGGATAAAATATTTGGAAAAAATATATATATTGCCTTAAGGATATGAAAGAGGTCGTCCGAAATAGACTTTTTTTCCCTTTTTTTGGACACCTAAAGTTGATTTATTTTAAACTTAGTTTGTTGCTGGAAAGAGCGATGAGATACTGTCTCAGTGAGGATCTCCATAGGAAATACATGGCATAATCAAGGAAAATTTGAGGAGGGTTATTTGTAAAGGATCCAATCATAATGTGGGCATGATAGGAAACCATAAGATAAACCACATGAAAGAGCAGCAAAGCTATTATTACATCACGCCTATTTGTCAGATAAAATATAAGGTGCCCATTTAAATTGGAATTTGGGATCAATAACAAATGTTATAAATATTTTTTTTACTAACTATTGCAACCCAAAGTCTGCTCCCCGAAAGAGATAAAGGAAAAGACAAGAGTGAGGTTCATGGAAGGCCAGAAGGCAGAGATTTGAATCAATCGTATGAGACATGGTAAGTGGAGGAAAGAGACAGTGTGAGTGAGGTACCCTCACAGGGAGAGGACCTTGGATGAGGAACCTGGCCTCACTTTCCTCCTACATCTTGAGCTCCTACAGAGGCTTCCCAATTTCTGAACCCCAAAGAACCTGCTTCTTAGGGCACAGAGCACAGGGAAGGAGGAAGGACAGAGTAGATCTGGAGGAACAAATGGAAGCTACCTGGCCCAGATAGGATTACAAGAATAGATATTTTTAAAAATATAAACATTTGCTTATTGGTGTTAATGTTTGATATTTTTTTTTAATTCACCATTGAACAAATTAACCACAAATAGAACTTTGAAAGTGATGTTTGCTATAAGCTATTAAGTAGAATTCCAACACTTAATATAACCATTTCTTGACTTTCTGATGTAAGTAGTTATTTTGATAGAAGAGGAGCATTTATCGAGAAAATTAGGGCAATAAAAATATTCCAAAAAAGTTTGTTTATGTCCTTGCAAAGAAATTGTTAAATCACACCTTATTTCCAAAACTGAGAAAATCTAACACACCTTTTCCCAACAGGAAGTGATGTCAGTGGAGGATGAATCCACATCCTGTTACTGCCTTCTGGACCCCTTTGCCTGTCATGTGCTCCTAGACAGCTTTGGGACGTATGCCCTCACTGGAGAACCAATCACAGACTGTGCCGTGAAGCAACTCAAGGTCGCAGTTTTTGGCTGCATGTCCTGTAACTCGCTGGACTACAATTTGAGAGTCTACTGTGTGGACAATACCCCTTGTGCATTTCAGGTCAGCCTTTTCTCTGTAATTCTTTTGGTGTCGTGAAAGCATAGGGTTTCCTAAAAATTAGTATCAATAGAGACTTCTGTTGCTGAGGGTCTGGAAAATGAACCCATATCACTTGCCTTCTGGAGATGCCTATCTTGAAGCAAGAGCTATGCTACTGTATGTCCAACAAAGTGCTAAAGTACTTGGCAATCAAAAAGAGAGAAGCGTTAAATTAGTGCACATAGAGAACTTTGTTTGCTAAATTATACAGCCAACTAGAAATGTGGTTAGAATTAGTCAGAATTCAGAAAACAGACACAGCTACAATAGAGGTTTTGAGACCTCTTTGTGAACCTTCATGGATGGATGAGATTTAGAAGCAAACGAGAAAGGAATATCATGTCGAAAAAGGGGAATGGCATGTGCTACAGACACCAGAATTATTTTATGTGCAGAGGGCAGTGAGAAAATGGCTTGAATCAACTTAAGGTTGTAGTTAGAAAACAATTATAAATCATACCTATCAGCAGGCAGTAATATCATATCCTGGACACATAGCATATTAATTATTAGGGCTACTAGGGCAGAGATAGTTCAAGGTTCCTTTTCCATTTTTAGTACTTTTAATCATGTAAGATTTATTTTAAACTAGCTACTCACGAAGAGTTGCAGGTTTATTAATAGCAGCAAAGATAATGCAGAAGTGTCTGTGTAAGCTTTGCCCATATATAAATAGCATAGCTCTCCTGACACACCTCATCCAAGATCCCTGCTATTCCAGTCCTGGATCATTAAGTCCATTATGCAGAGCATTTCCTCAGTAACTAGCTTTTAAGACACTGAGCTGGAAAACTCATGTTTACCAAGAGAAGAGACACAATGACCTGAATCATGAACATAAGCCAGTAAAGGTGACACAGCGCCAACCCATATTTCCAAACCTACCCCAACTATCTCTTATGTAGCACAGGTTATTTTGAAGGCCACACTCAATATTTGGCTGCCATAAAAGGGGTTCTCCCCGCCCATATAGAGGTGCCATTTTGTAGAATATAGAAGTTCAATGTAAGTAGTTACTCCTCATCCTTCGATTGGCATGTTATAGTCTTCATCTGCTTTCACCACCCTAGTAAGAGGATTTCTCCAAGAAAAAAATACATAACAAATTCAGTAATCAAAAATAAAGAATGAATTCAGGGTGTTACTACCACTTAACAGTTATAAAATGCACCATGACTCAAGTTGGATGTTTAGTAACTTAGCCAGATTTCGAAGGCTGAGTAAACTGAAGTAAACACGGAAGACCATGGATGATTGCCAGTCTTCTGGCTCACATGGGTAGCCCACTGCTGCCTAGTGTGACGATGAGGATCTGTTCATCCCAACTGCCTTGGAAGTCAGCCCTCATCACTAACTTGAAATTTTCTTTGAATAATGGTCTCACTGCTGATATATATACCAGGGAGTTAAACATTTGCCTAGAAAGTTTATTCTAAGAGATGTTTAGATAAATCTATTTTCATTCGTGTTGATGGCTACCAGATTCTACAACAGCTCAGCTGTTCACAGATGAATATGAATCGCAGTGGAAGTCATGAAAATGAAGGCCTAAACACAGCTTTCCAAACCACTATCCATTCTGGCGGGTAATAAACTCTTCTTAGTCAATGTTAGGGAAAATGGTGTTCTCCCTCTAAATTGAATCCAAATATATTAATTTCATCATTCAGAGATATTTCTTAAAACTCCTTCATTTTGCTTTAGAGAAATGTTTTCCAGTAGAAATACCTTTGACCCTATTTGTTGTAATCTATTTCCCTCCAGTGATTCTTTCCCTCTTCTATTTTGTCAAATAAAGCTGATTTTAAAGTTGGGTTTGGTTTTACTTGTTATTGACAGGATGTATGTGACAGCTGTCATGAGCAGCAAAGGCCATGCTTCCCCCTTGGGGTTCTGAGAGAGCACTGACCTTGGTTGAATAACTTTTTTGACTCACAGAAAGATTAAAACATAACTTGTAGCTTTTGGAACACAGCTATTTACTCTTTTGTCTTAGTCTCCAGATTTTGTTTCGGAAAGGATATTGCTTTCTGGATTTTCACCCTGCTAAGTGAATGGCTTCGAGCCCTTTTACACAGGTTCATTTAAACCACCTTACTATCCCAAATCGTCCATGTCTTATTTTTCATGGCTTCATATGTGGTATTTAATAAGAGGGGAATGTTATATAGTTACTAACCCATTAAAAGAGTTCCACTTTAAGCCTTAGCATCAGTTAACTTCCTGAACCTCTGAAAGACTTCGCAAGTTAATATGAGCTCCCTCAACTTGTGTGGTGTGAGCTGAAAATACTATTCACGGTGGTGACTCATTCCCTACAACTGATAGAACCCTGACTTGACTTCTTCATCAAAGTTAACACGTAGTTCTTCATGAAGCACTCTGCAGCAATTGCCTGGAATTTACCTCAGTTATCACTATAATGAAAATGTTTATTGTGATTTTAAAATATCCCGGAATTTACCTCAGTTATCACTATAATGAAAATGTTTATTGTGATTTAAGAATAGATACAAGCATGATTGTACAGTCTCTCTGTTGTGGTGCCTTTATCATCTCTCAAAGAAATGGTAACTTCGACCAGAGCTGTGCTCTTAACCAAGAAGGTTAATGGGCATGGTGCATCTTTCATATTGTTCATATCTCACTGGGAAATTATGTCACATAAAATCCTTAAAAACCTACCCTTTCCTGGAAAACACTAGGAAAAGGACAGCTTTCAAACCCAACTCTCCTGTCCTCTTAAATCATCGCGAGGGCCTGGCAATATAGTGGTCCCACCAAAAAACATTCCTTGAGAGGATTTAAGTAATCAAACAGAAACATTCTCCATTTTCAGCCATGTCCTCCTTCCCTATACTTCCTGCAGGGCTACTATGCCGTTTCTCATTTGCTCTGAGGACATTTTATCTGAATCATAGTAGCAGTTTCTTTGAATGACAAAAACAGATATCTCAAACACCTTGGCAAAACATAATTAAATTAGTTTCAGATTTTTTTTGAAGATCTGTTCTGATAACTATATCTAAAAACATCTCTATGGAAATTACATCAGCCCAGGTATGTTCTTTAAAAATAAAAATGCCATCTGCCTGAAGGTGAAAAGAGAAGGACCAAAAGACTTCTTGTCCTTTCCACCCCTGTGTCTCTGTAATAATTAGAGCTGCTATTTTATGTTTGCGTGTTTGACATTGCCTCCTCTGATGAATTCAAAGCAAAGGTTGAGGAGTGGTGTTATATTTTCAAAGCAGTAACATTTTAAGAACTAAGTTTTTGTTACTGTTTCATTTCTTTCTCTCTCTCTCTCTCTCTCTCACACACACACACACACACACACACACAGCTCAAACAAACCTTGACATAGAAAAAGCAAGGAATTAAGCACTTGCCCTATCTTAGAAAGAAAAAATGAAAACAACTAGTTTTTCCTTCGTTGCTCTCAGCACTACTATTCAGTACTTCTCGGTACTCATTACTTACTTGGCATTAATGTGGATTTAGAATCTAATTTCAAAGGATTTCCTCCAGATGTAGTTCTTGTGTTTATCAATAATACAACCTTGGGAAAACTGTTCACGTAAAGCATTTATCACGGAACACACCACAGCGACATAATTTCTGTGTGTGTGTGTGTGTGTGTGTGTGCGCGCGCGCGTGCGTGCGTGCGTGCGTGTGTGTGTGTGTGTGTGTGTGGGCGCAGGCTTAAGTTCAAACAGTTTAGTCTCATAAATATGTAAATTTGGCCCGCCTGTTTTAGTATCCCTGAAGAACACCTGAATATTGCGGCCTGTCTCATTAAATCAACATAAAGAGCTCAGTGAGCACAAAGCACAAGTTTCTTGGCCACAACTCCTAGAACTGGATGACTATCAACCCCCAATGTAAAATGCTGAAGTAGAGAGACTAGAAAAATTATCAACCAGAGCCTTTAGGTACATTTTATATACAAGAAACCAGCCAGACCTTATTTTCTAGTTTAATTACTGCAAATATCAGTTTAACAGAACTACAGATTTAACAGAATGACCTTGTTATATAGGAGGCAGGCTAGAAAAATTCAGTGAATTATCAGGCCTCACTCTTGGGGTGGTACATCCCTGAATGACTCAGAACTAGAACTGTTTGAATCATCGCATCCCAAACCAGCCAGGAATCAGAATCATTTGAGAAACTTAAAAATCCAGATGTCTAGGCCTAGCTCGTTAGAGTTAAGGGCATAACTGGGAATTCTTTGTTAAGTACAATTTATTCTATTTGGACAGTATTTTAAAGCTTGTTCTCAGGAGTTTGTTTCTTTAATTCTGAAGCCAATTGTGCCTTTAGAAGTATATAAATACAATAATTACTTCATTATTGGGCTTCTTTAGTTTAATAATTGTTTGTTACAGAATAACTATGCTTGTTTAATATTTTGTTCAAGATTATGGTACACTGTTAATTGTATATAGTTGGTTCAATATGTGGAGATCAAATAAGCTAAAAAAAAAAGCAAAAATAAATCATGGTTGTATTCAAATTTGGAGCCCTAAGTGTAGAAAATTTTAAAAGGTATCATTTTCGTCTGTGATAGCTATAAGTAGATATCCATTTTAAAAATCCCTAATATTCTCCACTCTGCATTTCAGGGACTCCTTAGTATATATAACTCTAAGGCAAATACAGACATATTGTCTTTACATATACCTAGCACCAGTAAAAAAAATTATTTATGGGACAGAGTTAATAGCGGTCTGACCATCACATGATTTTCTTTAAAAAAAAAAAAAAAGTATAGTATAGGACGATGCAGAAAAATCTAGTAGAAAAAAATACTAAATCATGAACAAGTTGCTCTGTTCTAGTCTGAGCTCAGTCACTAACTATGTGGTTTTGGCAAATAACTTTCTTGGGGAGGAAGGAGGAGTGTTTCCATATTTCACCTGTAAATAAGGTATTTAGTGATAGAAAACCTGATGAAGTTTTCTTCTTGTGATGATTCTACATAGTTTCTCAATATTAAAATAATCTAGTTCTCCCTGCTAAGTGATACATGACCTCAAAGAAATCATTTCATCTCCTGACCCCAGCTTACTTCTCTGTACATTCAGGCAAGTTAGATTTAAAGAAGAGGGGTACACACTTTAGGAAGCCTAGTCGAATATACTTTGAAGAGTAAACGCTGTTGTTATTCTGTGGCTTTAATATGATTTTAATAAGCATGTTTCTTATTTGTACTTGTTTCTAACCTTGCACTAAAATTGCAAAAAGAGGTTAGTATATTATCATGCTAATTATTTTGCTTGGCTCTGAATAAACTCAAGTAAGCAACTGAGGCCTAAAGAAAATAAGTAACTTGCCGAAGACCACATAGAAATGTAATTAGAATCCTGTGTTTCCATTTTCCGTTTACAAGATTAGTACTCTTTTAAAGTATATATAGCCCCCAGAAGAATCTTATACACCTTAACTCTTGAGCAACATTAAAATAAAATACAAGTTCATAGCATAGCAAGCAAGAATTCCTGATCTGGTTCCTGCCCTACGTTATTATCGCCAGCCACATATTTTCCCCCTAACTTCTATTCCCGCTGTCTGACCTCCATGCTTTGTGCATACCCTGCTTAGTGTCTGGAAGGTGCTCTCCCTCCTTTTCCTGTGGCTAGACCTTATTTTACTTCAAGGTTCATCTCAACTACTTCCTCGATTAACTTCCTTACTCCCTTCCTGGCCTCTCCTCCCAGCTGTTAGGCTAGGCACTCTGTCTTGCCTTAACCTCCCAGGAACACATTATATTATGCTGCTTAGATACTACATGATGCTCATACACCTGCTGTTCTGACACTCTCACTAGACTGAGCTACTTGGTAACAGGCATAGTTTCATTTCTGTATGCCCAAAGTCCAGCTCAAGCACAGGTCCAGTGGACACGCAATCTCAAAAGAAGAAACCAGTGACCAGCATCTGTAAAAGACCTAAAGTCGGCATTTGGAATGAATTTCCTTTCCTCCCCACACCGCCACTTCCCTTCCACTGTTTGAGGCTCCTTCCTACCAGACACCAGCTACCATATGTTTTTTTCCAAGTCTTGGATCTACAACATGAATTATGTTGCACAGCACTGTTTAGTACAATAATTTCTAGCCACATGTGGGTATTTAAATGTAAATTAATGAAAAATTCAGTTCTTTAGTCACTGCAGCCACATTTCAAGTGCTTAATAGCCACTGTGGCTAGTAATACTGTATTGGACAGCACAAATAGAGAGCATTTCCATCATCACCGAAAGTTCAGCACTGACCAACGGGCCCCAAGAAACACCTCTCTCACTAGCAAGATCAAAGAGCTGGAGAAAATTGGAATTGAATCATTTAGTGCTGAGAAAAGATACTAGCAACCTGTTAACAGATTATGTGTACATGAAGGATAAAAGCTGGGCAGCTGCTTCTCAGAAATGTTTTTATTAGTTATTCTACTAATGTAGATAAGAGATATATAAGATAACCTTTGAAGCTTTTACTTGCCGATAAATTTATAATTAAAATTTATATTGTATTTATAAACTTATTTGCCTGACTTCATACAATCTTTTTTTAGAATCTGGGAATATTATAGGACATAATTAAAGGATTTCATTTTTCTTATTAATACTAGATCTCTACAAGGAAATCATAACTAAATTAATGGTGATTTAAAAAAAAAATAGATTTAGGGAGGTCTCATCTACAGTGACACTAAAAGCCTCACCCCCACAGTAGTTTAAGATTTTACAGAATCCATATCAATTCTTTCACTTGTCCTATCATTTCTTCAATGTTTCTGAACACCACAAATTTGGAACCAATTAAATGGTTTGCTTAGTAGAATATATGTGAATTGCATTGGTATGAGGTATAAAGATTTCTCAGTGAAGCTACTGGAGTATTTATCTCAGGAATTTTTTTTTTTTTTTTTCTGAGCTAACTGATTCTATAACTTATTTTTCTTGGCCTTTGGCATAACTTTAAGAACAGTATTACAAATAAACATGATATACACACTCTGTAACATCTATTTTGAGCCAAAGAATAAACATGGATAATGCCTCTGCAAGTGAACCAGAGAGAAGATGCTTCTACTTTATTGTGAAATATGATGTGTCAGATTAGGTATGAAAACATTCCCTAATTATGGTCGTATCAGAATGAAATTGATACAATTTTTAAAAACTCAACAGTGTTACAACTTCTCTGGGGCAAAGGTGGTCTAGTTTTAAAGAAAAGCGTAGTGTTTCAAGGACATGGAGTGTAAAAGAAGAGTGTCCATTATGCTATTCTTTATTTCTGGGAGACACATCGGAGTGAGCATGTATAGGAATAGAAAGACAACGTGGAGGCGATTGGATACTTTATTGCTGTGCCTCTTCTCTTTTCCCTGTCCTGTAGGAAGTGGTTTCAGATGAAAGGCATCAAGGTGGACAGCTACTGGAAGAACCAAAGTTGCTGCATTTCAAAGGGAATACTTTTAGTCTTCAGATCTCTGTCCTCGATATCCCCCCATTCCTCTGGAGAATTAAACCATTCACTGCATGCCAGGTACTGGTCGAATAGATCGCTAACAGAAATAGCTTTGCTTTAATCAGCAAGCACGTCACAAACCCTGGTGAGGGTACTCTTGACTTCCCTCCTCCTTTAAAAGTATGGATTTAATTTCAGAACTGTCACAGAAATATAACAGTTTGGGCTACACACAGGGGATTAAACATATTGTCATAAATTCACAGATTCCTAACAGGTGGGAAATAAAGGTACTTGCATGTCAGGTAATGTGACGTTTCTCATCTTTCCTGTTTAAATTGTTGCTTCATAGAGGTTGAATGTGGTAATTTAACAATTTAGAGCAAGGTTTGTTAGTTTCTTTTCATTAAAATCAGCTCATTGTAAGACATTGTTTTAATCATTCGTGTTCAGCAATGAATGAACTGGATGGATGTCAGTGAGAAACTTTGTAAGGGTAATTTTGAGTTATAGATTGCTCTGGCTGTCCAAGTGGGAACAAAAGATTTTTGTCCGGAGTATATGAAGTGCTAGCTGTCAAATGAACTGGGCAAGATATGAAGAAGAAATTACAGATTGAGAGGCAAAAAAAGGATAATGCCTCTTAGAATCCTTATATAAATATATAAAGACACATATATTATTATTCACATATCGCGATACTAGAGAATTTAATGCAACATTGCAAAATGACTTAGAGTCTCCTTGGATAACTTTTAGGGAATTTGAGTAGTCCCTTAGCATAAAAAGATATCAATATGTGAGCCTGCCACTTAATTCTATGGTAATTCCCAGTGATAAGTTTTGTCATCATAAGCAGCCAGCTGCTCTACCATAGTGTCTTAAGCCAGAGTCATCCGTGCTTCAAGTGACATTTCCTAATTCTGGAAAAGCTTCTGGTGGACTCATATTGATCTGAAATCAGAGGAGACTTTCAAACTTTATTCTGCCCATTGATACAACCTGCAGGGCCCTGTGGGTTTTTTAACCTTTACATCCTTGCAGCATTCATT